GTTGTGTTCAATTTGAACAAGTGAGTCAGTTGGCCTGCACCTTGCTGAGTCCGTCGGTGCCAAATTTGTGGCGATCGCGCGCATAGGCCCGCAACAGAACCGTGGACAGTGCGGCGGGGCGGGGGTCCCGAGCGGCACAGCACCCTCTCCATTAGTACTGCTCTGAAGCCATAGTCGTGAGAACTTTCACGATACTAATGCTTGAGCGTGACAACTCGGAGCGTATGGTAACGGGGACGGGAAGATTAGAACAAAAACAGGAAAAGGGTGTAAAAACTTCGGGAATTATGTGTACATCTGCCTGGGAATCTTCGGGTTAAAAATGATCCAAATCAATCTAAATCGCTAAAACCAAGCGGAAAACTAGTGGAACTGGTGGAAAGTAGTCGAAGCAGAGGGGGTTTTTACCTATAGAATAAATATAAGAGGACGGGAATCACTGGGCATCAAGTATTTCGGGAATCATATGTACATATCGAAAGGGAGTTATTGCCCCCTCGGCCTGGTTCGTTTGAATCGAACCTCCGCTTACTATCCGGCTGCCAGACACGGAGACCACTGCGACTAGCGGCGACTTGGAGGGGGGATGTGGAACGAGCCACTTCCACTGAAAAAAATACCGTAGGCAGTTACAGTTTGCCTACGGTCCGTACCGTATTTTCAGCGTACACGGTCAGGCCGTAACAGTATGAACTGTACTTTCTTGTTTTGGTTAAGAGCTGTATTCGACTCCCTACAATTTTTTCAAGTAACGGTCTGTCCTGTATGACACGGACCGTAACCAAAAATTACGGTTCCGGACCAGGCAACAAATTTACAGCGCAGACCGCAGGGCTTTACAGTGTGTTTTTCTAACAGAGTTAGTCAAATCTGGTTTCTGAGAGGCGAGTAGATCGTGATGATCGACTCAGTTCGGTTTAAGCAGCCAACTTCTCTGTGCGAGCTGACTTAGTAGTAGGAATCAGCCATGGTCTGGTCTACAAAGCGAGTTGTACTAGGGCAAGCTACCGCAAACTCAGCTCTTAGAACCAACATGCCCGTCAGAAGCAATCAACTTGCACTCGACGAAGCGATTCTGGTCGCTACGGTTAACCCTTTTTCCGTGAAGGCCATCTTGATAACACACACTACGCTGACAGTGCTAGAGAACGTTGTGGGCAATTTTAGTGGAGAGAGCCTTTTTCCCATTTTGTTTTGCGTCGTTCCGGCGTCCACCTGACGCCCTGCAGGTTGTACCCCGTTCCGTTCGACAGCCGCCATTCCAGCCAGCGCATCGCCTACTCCTGGATACATTCTCCTGAACTTGCTTTATACCTCCCCGGGGAGGCTTTAGCCTTCTCCGCCCGTCCTTCCGCCCCATCCCATGCGCCCCGTGCGCGCGCGGACCGGCACGCCGCTCAAGGGGATGCACGCGCCCCGCTCGGAACCTTTTTGACCTTCGAAGGAATCAGTTGCGACGAGGCAAGGAAAAACATACAAGACGGCTATCAAGAATTATGCCCCTCCCCTTCCACCCACCCTTCCCTCCGGTGATCGTACGCGTGTGTGGGTCCGCGGGTGCCTCGTGCGACACTCTTAAGCAGGAGTGAGTGTGATGGCACAGCCTCGGCGAGCCAGCTGCGGGTGTGCGCGGCGCAAACCATCCCCTGCAGGCGACGGTGGGCCCGTTTCAATATTTAATGCAAAGATGAAAGTTTGTAAAGTTTGAGGAAGAAATGAAGCGCTGTATCGTGGCCGGGGGGAGGGGGGGGGAGCCTCAGCGGCACCGTTGCTAACGACAAGCTGCACCCCCCTCTCTGTCACTCTCAAACACACTCGCCGAATAGGCCCACGGCGTGTGGCAAGCCTATCAGCCGACTCTCTTGTTTGGACGCTGCCGAGCCGGTGGCAGGGCACCGTTGGTTGTCGCTCTCTTGCAGACAAGATCACACGTCACACACACACATAAGCACACGCACACAAAGTTGGCGCTAAGCTAAACAAGCATAGGTTGTCCCCCTCTAGCGCGCCATGGAATAAAATAATAGTAGTGCTGAAGTGGAGAGGGGGCGGGGGATCCTCGCACGGGGACATCTGTTACTACTGCGAGGCTGGGGCGCGTAGCAGACGACGTGCCATGCGCCCCGCGCCTCGCCCCACCACGTGAAATTACTGTGTAGCGCCGGGGCGACGCCACGCCGACCGGACGGGACGAGCGGGGTCGACAGGGGTCGGTCGGCATGACAGCTGCTGGACCCACGTCCGCCCATCCGGGGGACATGATAGTAAACTAAATTAAAAGGCCGCCGCGCCACGCACGCCGAGTCATCGACAATGCAGCTGCGCGCTGGCACTAGTGCCAATAGTAAGACGTGCGTTATTTTATTTTTTGTTAATGAGTAGTCATTTTAATTACGCTAAAGGTCATACCCTCCAAAAAACAGGGAATTCGTGTCCAACCATTTTAAAGCAATTCCATTTTATATTAACCTTATCCACACTCCATCCTGTTTCGACACTGAAGAGCAGCAGCACTGATCTGCGGAGGCTGTCCCTTTGAAATAAACGCAACGTTTGTTCAGGCGCTCTGTGCGGTGCGCCACTCTCTGCGCGCCACGCTCTACGCGCGCCACGCCCTCAAACGAATCGCAATGTACATTCCATCAGGGCGAAGCTGCTCCCGATGATTTGGTTCGACGAACCCTGGCGGCATACCAGCGGGTCACCAATATTTGCCCAGAGATCGTTTCTGTACAGAAAAAAAAAACGTTAACGCTAACGCTAACGTGAAAGCAGATGACTTTTGGCGATTGGCGATGAGCATTTTGCTGTGGGCGTCACCAAACATTCATATCCTGAGAACGCATGACGCTTTAAGTTGTAACTTTCGTTTACTGCGTTAAGTTGTGATCTCACCACAAGCCCGGCGTTAATTGTTCAACATCTGGTTGTGAAAACTACTTCTAAATTTAGCTTCAGCTGTGCAGTAATGAAAATATGACATTATGGTGGTGTTATTAGATTTCTATGAAATGTAATGAAAACAGCATCGAGTCGACAACACACATTTTAATTTACTTTTATTATTACATTAAAAATGGGGTGTGAGCGCTCGCACGCATAGCTCATAAACACACACGCATGGTGTGGCCCGGCGCGTTTCACTTAATACTCGATTCATTCTGCAAAAAATAATACGAATTAGGTGTGTACATAACATTGTTGGTTAGAGCTGTGCACATTTACGTCAAAATCATAAATACCTGCAGTCACCAACGCTGTTCATGGGCTGGTCGGCAGGATATTTCTTCAGCTTGTCGCACCATTGCTGACTTTTTGGTGCTGGTGGTGGCTGCGCCGAGCGCTGCGCCACGACACCGTTCACACATCGGACAAGGACCACGCGGCCCGTCTCGCAACACATGTCCTGTAAACGAAAATATAAAATGATTACTACATCATGTCGCCTTGTCGCGTAACAAAATTAAACAAGTGTAGCCCACTTACCCGTCTACTGGGGGACGTCGATGACTATCGGGATGTGGTGGCTGTAGTACGCTTGATACGGCGCGGTCCTCGTTGATGTACTGTTCGTGAATACAGCGTCAATGGTGGTGCCGCCGTAGGTGGACTGTGCGCTCAGGTCGCTGCTCGGCGTCAGCCCTCTGGCCGCGAGGGCGTCCGCTATGCAGCGCCCGGCTGTCGCCCGCATGTCCACGTTGAAGTCGGCGCACACGATGACAGTGGCGCACGGCTCGGCGGGCAGCAACAGCCCCAGCGCCGCGAGGATGTCGCCGAGCCTGGCGTCGGTGTGGCAGTACAGCACGGCCACTGCCAGCTCGCTGCCCCGCCGCGCCCTCGCCGCCTCCACTCGAGGCACCGTGCTGACGGCCAGCACCTCGTCGAAGGGCAGCCGCGAGTACACCGCCACGCCTCCCGCGGCCCTCTCTTGATGCGCGGGCGCGTCACAGCGGACTACCTCCTGCATGCCGTCGCCCAGGTCGATGTCCTGTCCCGGGCGCAGCCAGGTCTCGGCCAGCAGCAGGACGTCCGACTGCATCATGACGTCGTCCAGGCTGACGTCGCGGTGGTGGGCGTGGAGAGACTGCACATTGGCGTACACCGCTCGCAGCGCGTGCGCGGGCCGCCCCAGCAGCGAGGCCCACGGCACGGTGAACGGTTTGCTGCGCAGCCTCTCCTTCTCCCTCGCCATGCTGACGTCCTGCTTGTCCAGCCTGGGGTGCTTGAACAGCCTGGCCGCCCTGGCCCCGCGCTGCGGTCGCTGCACTCGGCCCGTCGCCACCCGCCGCAGGCGCTCTCCGGTGTACTTGATGAACAGGCCTGCCAACTTGCGCACCCTGCTCATCCCCACGTACACCATGTTGTTTTGCATCGAGTCGTAGTACTCGACGCACGCCGCGTCGTACGAGCTGCCCTGCGACGAGTGGATGGTGTCGGACAGCGCTGGGACGAGCGGAAACTGCTGGCGCATAACGTGGCGCCACACCTCCGTCCTGCACTTGACGAGCTTCAGGTCTTCGCGGTCGATGGGAACTAGGCCCCGGAGCTCGTCGCCCTCGGGGATGGGTGGCAGCTCGAAGGGCAACAGCTCCAGAGGGAGGCACCGCTGACGCGCGATGGCCGCCTGCAGCTCGCTTTGCTTCTCGCGGCTTCGCGCGGCGCCCACGTCCGCGGAGAAGCGAAGCCACAATGTCTGCACGGCCACCTCGGGCTCCGTCACCCCGGGCGTGCGCGAACGCGAGCACAGCATGCCGGCCTGCACCCAGACCAGGACGCCGACGGCGCCGTTCACAAGCCCATCCTGGACGTTGAGGTTAACAGTAAGCTTGTAGGGCCGCCCCACCACTGCAAGAATGAGGTAGGGGAGGTTCTGCGCACTCTTCGTTGGCAGTGCGCGGGCGCGATCAAGAATGGATTCGGTACTCTCTTGCCTCCTGCGCCGCGCGGAAGAATCCCCCACAGAATTTCGGTTCACTTGGACGCGGTCACGTGCTGGTATTTTAATAATTAATTGATTCGGTGCCTTCAACAGCTCTTTGGTGTTGTATTCGTCCTTGTCTTTGTTGGTGTGGTAGAGGCGAGGGCAATTGCTAGGCACCACCAAGCTGTTTTCGTCTACGAACCTCGACTCTATCATCTCGAGCTCTTCGTCTGTCAAAGGCACTTCTGCGTCGCCAATTTTGGCGAGGATCTCCGCAAACCTTCTGTCTTCACCCTGTCGCATGTTTTGCGTCAGCTCCACGTACTCGAACTTTTGCCACAGAAGTGCACTCCCACCGAGGGAGTCCGTGGAGCTGACGTAGACAGGCTTACCTCCAACAGGGACAAGTTGGCGGAAATCTCCAAATATTATTGTCCATAGAGAACCGAAATCTGCTTCGTTGCCCTTCGCCTCCTTGCAGCGCTGATCTACGGCCAGAAAATTGCGGTCCGACACCATACTAATTTCATCAATAATCTGGCCGTGGACGTTGGCGAAGGCGTTCTGCAAGTTGGCGAGGGCTTGTCCTTGCAGTGGCACCATAATGTCGTCTGCGCCCTGGTTCAGCCGCCGGGTGGCCTCAGACTCCTGGTTATACGACAAGTTGTATGCGTGGTGCATTGTGCTGCCCCCGATGTTGTGGGCCGCCTTGCCCGTGGGGGCGCTGATGACTACCCGGCTGGAGTCCTCGTTGTCGTTGGCCGGGCAGAACGCCTCGAACGCGTTGGCGATGTTGCGAGCCACGACCGACTTGCCCGTCCCCGCCGCGCCGTCGATGTAGATGAGGCGCGGCGCGCTCTGGGTGCGGATGCCGTGCACGACCGCGAGCACCACCTCCTTCTGCTTGGTGTTGAGGCGCCGGATGTTGTCCAGGTAGGTCTCGCGGTCCCACACGCCTCGGCGCCGCACCCGCGCGCTCGCCGCAGGCTGCTGCCTCCCAGGCTCCGGCAAGTCGATGTTTATGTCCTGCGCCGTGCAGTCCATGAAGTCGGCAACAGCCTCGTCGTCGAAAAACAGCTTGCTGTTGCCGGCGAGCATGTTGCGGGCGCTGCACTCGGCCTCAAGCGCCTCGGCCTCGTCCTGAGCTACGCACGCCTCCAGCTCCGCCTGTAAGGTGTCGTCCAGGCCCAGCATCGCCTCGAACGCCTGCCTCCTGCCAAGGATGTCGTCTTCGTGTTCAGCGTACAAACTATGAAAGCTGTCACTTGCCTCTAGAATGTCGCTTTTCTCGTCACGCCAAGGCAGGTGCAGGGTGCACATGCCCCGGTAGAAGTTCTCCGCCTCGTTCCAGTCGTCGCTATTTTCCGCATATCTTCGATACCGGACGATGCGCTCTCTTCTCCGGGGCTTCTTGCTTTGGTGATGCAGGGCAGCGAACTGGGCCAGGGTGACGTTGTCGAGCTCCTGCGCCCTCCTGGAGTACACGTCGTATATGTCCGGGTACCACAGGTCGGTGGAGCCGGGCGGCAAGGCCTGTATGTCCTTGACGGGCTTGGGGCAATGCACTCGCTCCTCGGGTCGCGAGGTGTCGATGAAGGTGCACTTGCGGCTGGTCTCGCACAGCGGAAACTTCATCAGCACCCACGCGGCCTCCTGCGCAGATGTCTCCTTGGCCCTCAGCGTACGAGAGCAAAGCATTTTCATTAAAGTGCGGTCGTCAAATCCACGCTCTCGTCGCAGCCGTGTAATTTCGTTGTGCAGGTGAGAGTGGTTCTTCTCCGCTTTTGTCACGTACGAGACCACGTACCGTATCAGGCTGAACACGTCCAGGACTACCTGCGCGTCGGTGTTGGACCCGAACGCCTCTAGCACCCATGGCAGGTACGGGTTGGTCCACCTGTCCTTGACGCGCCGCTTGTACAACACTTGGGGCCGCATCACCCCCGTGCGGATGGCGAGCTCGTATGTGGCGTCATCTGGACACTCCACCATTTCCCACACCTCCTTCAGGGTGTCAGGGCAGTCCGGCGCAGAGAGCACGTCTTTGAGCTTGAGGCGCAGCTCGCGCAGCTGCTCGATGTAGGTGGCCCAGTCGGTGCCGTTGTTGTTCTCCTTCCGCTCGTCCACATCGGGGCGCAGGGGCAGCACTATCCTCGTGGTGTCGGTCGGCCAAAACGGCGCCCCAAAGCGACAGTGGCGGTGCATCTCGCGTCTATCCAAGAGCTTCTTCACAAACCTGTGCCGTACATACTTGTTCTTAAAGCACGTTGACGTGTGGCAGTGCTTATTTCTTGCTGCCAAAGGATGGTCACTATCACACGTCACCAGGTCGTCAATGAAGGCCACCGTCTTGGCCACGTCATCCAAGGGCTTGTCCGGGCCGTCCTCGAGCCACAGCAGACAGTGCGCGTGGGGGGATCCGCGCTGCTGAAACTCGATTCGGATAAACCAGTCCTTGGCGAAGTGGCGCCCCATAGGCCCTTTCACCCGGGCGCGCAGGTTCTTCTTTAGCTGCAGGACGACCTCCCTGAAGTAACTCGCGCAGACCACGGGGTCCTCCCTGATGAGGCGCAGCTTCTCCTCCGGTCGCACGATGTCATCCCCATCACCCGCCTCCCCGTCACCCACCTGCTGCAGCACGCTGTCGATGGCGTCCATGGCCTCCTCCCCAACGCAAGAGGGCTGGTCGCTCGAAGTGGCCTCGGCGTTGAAGCGGTCCATCTCGGCGTGCTCCCGGTGCAGCTTGCGCAGCACACTGATGAGGGTGGGGCTGTGATACTCGGCGGAGGAGAGCGTGACGAACAGGTGCGGCGGTCCGAGCTGGCGCACGGCGGCGAACAAGTCGTAGGAGCGGCCCCGCCAATACTCGGCCGAGTTGGGTAGCAGGCACGGCATGGCGAGACCCCTCTTCTGAGAGGTGGACACGAACTCCTTGTCCAAAAGCTGCTCCTTCGAAATGTTGCGGCCGAGCACGTCTTTGGCGCCTCGCTTGAACTTGTGCCGGATGCGGCCGGACGCCTGCTCCCTGACGTGCACGTTGTACTTGTAGAGCACGCTCTGCGGGCGCGCGCCCCGCCGGTCTACCCGCTGCACCTCGCTGCGCATTGCCTGGTAGCGCGTCACATGCCGGGCGAAGGCGCGCGGCTGCCCCAGGTACACGCCAGGGAAGGCCAGCTCCTCAGCCTTACGGTCCCACACGACACTCACCGGGGTGCTGTTCTCGCCCGGCGCCACATCCACCTCGTCGGTCTCCGGGTCGGTTCTGCACGGCACGGGCGGGCGCGCCGGGCACGCGCGGTCCTCTGCAAGCAGTGAGTGCTGGACTGTCCCGAGGCGTGAAAACATCTCCTCGTGGTCCGCAGGTTCGTCGGGCTGCCCAAAGAACACGTCTCCCTCCTCACTGAACCGCGGCTCCTCTTCTCCCTCGGCGGGCGCAAGCGGTGGGTCCAGGCGGGACTCGTCGAAGACGACGCCGTGCTCGCGGTACAGCGGCGTGCCCTGCAGGTAGCGGCCCCACTCCACCAGCTTGCTCTTGTCAACGAAGCTCCGCGCGTATGCTCGTCTGTGTATTAGCTTGCGCTTGATATTGACAACACACAGCTCGTCTTCCTGAGGCAGCAGCGGAATGACGGTGCGCACCGTGTCGGCCGCGTCCGTCGGCACGTTGATGACGGAGCCCCGCACGCCGTACTGCCCGCGGCGGCCCAATTTGCCCAGGTGCACTATCTGCTGGAACGGCAAGCGCAGCGCTAGCACGTGCTCCTCCACCTCGGTGAGCGGTCGCAGCCCGGGCGGCACAGGCGGGTAGCGGAAGCCGTTCACCACGGCCGTCGGCGGCACCTGCATCTTCACGATGTAGCCGTGACAGGTGGCGCACAGGTCCTGTCGGCCGGGCTCCGTCACCAGCTTCTCGAGGTGCTCGCTGACCGCCGGGCCCATGTCCTCGCCGAGGCGCTCCACGTTGACGCGGCGCACGGCCCGCTCGTTGAGCAGCCGGTCGCACACGTAGCACTGCGCCGCGCACACGCCGGCCAGGGCGCGGGTCACGCTCGCGCACACCGCCGCCACCACGGCGGGGTCGTTGGGGCGGGGACAGCCCTGGGGCTCCACGCCGTCATCGTCCTCGGCGTCTGTCCCTTCGCTGTATTCGTCACCCAAAGACTCGCATACCGAGTCGTCGTCCGACTCACACACCAAGCCTGTAAGAGCAACATGGTTGCATGTCTAGTACTTAACAGCGACAAGACGAAAACATAAATGTAAATTAATACACATTTTAACTTACGGTCGTTCCAAGCTGAGAATATATTTTGGTTCGAGCCCCCCAAGTCGTCTACAGCCCCGTTGGGTTCTGTAATCGAAGCAGCAATTACAAGGCTAATTTTACAATCTTAACATCGAAGTTTAAAGACCAGTTTTGTTCAAATAGTTAAGTACTTACGGATCTCTGTTTGGTCAGCACAATTTCCCTGTCCCTGCTCTTTTTGCTTTTTTCCTTTCCGCCGTTCTCGCTCTCTTTGCCGCTTCCGTTCCTTCTGTTCCGCCGACTTAGTTGAGCGTTCCTGTTCCTTTCCTGCCTCGGAAGCAGCCTTAACCTTAGCCCAGTACCGCTTTCTCTCTCTCTCACGCCTTCGCTCTCGCTCCGCTTC